GATGATAATGTTGAGAAGTTACAAGCAAACATGGAGAGCGATACGAGAAGAAGCTTCGCAAACGCCATTAGTTGTCTTGGTCTCCTCAACTCTCTCTGCTGCATGCGTTGATAACGAAGAAGACTCTTCGACTACTCAAGGCTATGCGGTATCTATACGGTTAGCTTCACTTGGGCCTACTCTATTGGGCATTTTGTTTAGGTAAAGCAATTTTGTCTTCAATGTTTTGAGTCTTTCGATATAGTCATGAACGACTCCTTTATGTCTTAAATTATCTCCGATATATTCATCTACTACAATATATAAAAGAAAAATTACGAGATACACCAACAAACTATTGAATATTTAGCAACATACTAAACGGAGACTATTTGCTACCTCACCTCTTATATTTATGACATTTATATCCTTATAGATATTTACACGTAAAGTGAATGTGGTCATATATGTGCTTTATCTGCTTCAAAATTTTTTTTGCTACCTCTTTTTCTATGAACCATTGTTAGTGTGGGAAACCATTGTTAGTGTTGTGAACCAAGTTGTTGTATTTTGTTCCCGGCGTGTTGTTGTTGTATAAAAGTGAAACTAGTATCTTGATCCTTCTCTAATTATATATATATATACAACCAACAACATATGTGATTGTTCAATCTAACAAACATTCTATATTTCCAGAAATCACTGAAAATACAACATTAGTATTATAAATTTATAGAATCTCAATACTATACTTGGATATCTAAAGTTCGGTGTAACCGGCTCATGTATTTTTTACACTTTTGTTCTAATCAATCGGAAACAACTTCTAACCTTCTAACCGTATATTAGCTCGATAGTATCTTATTTTCTAGGTGTGAATATGACCGTTAATTGTCCAATCTAATACTTAGCCAAAAATGGTTCCATGTTAGCTGGATAATATAATTATACTGAAGCAGAGTGTATCAGCGTTGTCTATCTATATGGCATGTAAGGCTTGATATAACTTTATTTGCATGGCCAGAATTGTTGTTAACCGGCTAATTAGATTACACTAAGGAAATCCTCATTGTACTCAACCAATATGGATCTGTAGTATATCTGTATTGGATGGTAGGCTTACGGTTAAAGAGTCCTCGTACACAGCTGTGAAATGTGTATCAATTTCCTTTAATTCATTGGATGGTTTAGATTTGCAGGAAATATTTTGTATGGTTTTAAGGTTAAGGGATTAATGGGTTAACTGGTCTTTAGAGTTTAAGGTTTAGGGTTTATGATTTAAGGTCTAGGGTTTAGAGCTTATGGTTTAGGGTTTAGGTTTTAGGTTTTAGTTTAAGAGTTTTGAGATGAAGATTTAGGGTTTAGTTGGGTTAGGATTAAGGATTTAGGGCATAGTTTTTATGGGTGTAAGGGTTTGGGATTTATGGTTGTTAGCTTAATATAACTTTATTTGCATGGCCACAATTATTATTAACCGGCTAAGTAGATTGCACTTAGAAAATCCTCATTATACTCAACCAATAGGGAGTAACTATAATTGGAACATTTACATGAAATAGAGAAGATAATAAAAGACAATTAATATTTTTTAAAGGACAAGTATTTTTGTTAGACGTCCAATGTGTTTAGTAGATCTTAAAAGGTAAATGTTTTTGTTAGTCGTCCAATTATATTTATTACAATAGGGAATAAATATAATTGGAACATTTTACCTGAAATGTAAAAAATAATAGCCGACAATTATTATTTTTAAAAGGCAAGTTTTTTTGTTAGCCGTCCAATGTGCTTCGTAGATCTTTGTATGTACATGTTAGACTAGTATTGCAAAACCTAATGCCTCACACCATGTATGCCAGCATGTGTATATAGAGGAGACAAATCTTTGACTTTGATTCATTTTCGGCATGCGCCGCTTGCGCCAGAGAATATGTAGTATAGTGGTAAGTATTCCTGCCTGTCACGCGGGTTACCTTGGTTCGATCCCTGGCAACGGCGCCAAATTTGATAAGAATTTTTAAGTCTCAGAGAAAATCAATGTAGTATTTAAGATTGTCGAGCCACAGGGAACTAGTGATCTAAACACTAAGAATACACAAACTTTCCTAATCTAAGCAAATAAGAGAGGTGGATGATTGTAACAAGCTAAGATCCTAAAAATATAAACAAAGGTGATCTCAAATCCAATCAAGAAATAAATGCAAGAACACTTTCAATCAAATGATAAGGTAGAATCCATGGGATTAAGGCAATTGATCTAAAGCAATTAAAGTTTCAATCAAAATGTTCCTTAAGTCTAAACAACTTAGCTAAGCAAGTTCTAGGTCTAGACAAATGCTCATTTGCTTTCATTAATCAAACACAAATGATCATTGGCTCAATTAATTCAAGCAATCATTAAGAGTTGGTTTAATAACTATCTAAAACCCCTAGATACAAATGGTCATTGGCTAGGTAGTCTTAAAGCTAAGGAGAGTTGGTTCAGTCATTTAAACATACACCTTGTGGGTAGAAAATGACTAAGGTTCAATCCTAGAGTGATCAAGTCTAGAATATCACTAAACACACTCAACTAGCAAAGAAACACTTAGATCTACACTTAATCACCCTAGATCTACCTAACTCATGAATTCTAAAAGTGTCTACTCTTTAATCTCCATGAGAAACCTTAAATCCATGATGGATTCAAGGTTAATCATGTTAATGAGAATGAGAAACAAGATATAAGTTGAAATACTTCCTTAAAATGATAAAAAGGTTCAAGTTTTTACAATTAGAAACAAGTTATTGAGAGAAAATGAGATACATTAGGGTTTTTGGGGTTTAAAACTATATATAGGAGGTCCAAATTCGTTCTGGTTCAATTGAATTAAACCGGGTCAAACCGGCTTAAACCGGGTCAACCGATTTAAACCGGTCAACTCTGAGACTTTGACTTCACCGCGGTCTTTGCTTGCCCGCGTTGATTGGCCGCGTCTCGTCAAGCTTCTTGTTCGCCTTGGTTAGCTCCCGTGGCTGTGCTTCGATCTTTCCGGTTGCTCTGTCTTCGTGTATCTAACCGGCCACAACCATCCCATACGCAGCGACCTCACTGAACCAAGCTTCGTCGTCGTCTTGCTCTGCCGTGGTCTTCTTCCTCCGTCGAAGCTCTCCACCGTAGCCCACAGTCAGGGCCGTGCCTGACCTTTTCTAGGCTAGAAGCATAAAAAAAATTTTTGGCCCTTTAATTATTTTAATTTAAATTTTGTTAACCTAAAATAAGTAATAAAAACAAAAATAATACAGAAAATGGTAATAGACTAGTTCGAACTCATTACCTCATGATCTATATAAGCGCACTCAACCAATGAACCAATGACAATTTTAGAATAATTGGCCCCTAAATAATATTTATTCTAACGGGTCCCGAAGCAAACTCTTGATCTGCTTCTTATCAGGCACGGCCCTGCCCACAGCCGTTCAAGCTCAATCCTCGTCGCAAATCACTCCTCGCCGAGCTCCATCGTCGCGAGTCACTCTTAGATCCAAGCCGTGGTCTCTGCTCCGTCGTGGTCGTCCGCCGGCATCGAGCTCCAGATCAGAAAGCTCGTGAGCTCCAATGGTGGGCTTTCTCGTATTTGCACAATAGGTCCTCAAGGTTTCGGATCTTCTCACTTTGGCCCCAAGACTTTTGAAAATTACAAAAAGACCCTAGCGAATCAACGCTGTACTTTCTCTTGTGCAATTTCAACCAGAAAGTATTCCAGAATCGCAACATTGGTCCCTGAACTCTTGATGGCGTTCAAATTGGTCACAAACTCTGTAAATTGCAAGGATAACCTTCCAATTTCGTCCAAAACTTCTAGTTGTGCTCTCCAACCCCTACTATATGCAAATGAACACACTAATGCAATATATACACCTAATATGCAACCTCATGACCATAATAAGCTAAAATGTGAATCTAAAACTCATTAAAAATATGAGATATCAACGGGAAATCGTCTAAAGTCGCTACTGTTTTTGTTTTCTTTACCGATACAATCTAATAATATCCTCTACCATCTACACAATATCTATATATAATTTTACTATAATATAATTAATTTGATACACCTATAAATCCTATATACCAATAAGAGTATTTGCACCCTCTATACACACAAAACCACTAAATTAGGGATCTACCATATTTATCTCTATCTCTCTCCTCCCCCACATACCACTTTTTCCCCCAAATTCTTAAGTATCTCTCTCTTTTATGGTATTCACCTAATTCACCCATACCAATAATCGATAGAAATTCATTGTGCAAGTGGGAAGGACTTTTTTGCCATTAACCTATGTCCATTACTACACAACTTTCATGTTATGGATACAGCCTTAAGTTAGGCATTTTCTATGATTTTTCACCCAATTATCTCTATATATCATTTTGCCATAAAAATATTCACCAAATTTTACTCTATAGTAATGTAAATCTAAAATAAAGTATATTATTGTTAATGTATTACCATAAATCAATTTTGTCTTCAATGTTTTGAGTCTTTCGATATAGTCATGAAATACTCCTTTAAGTCTTTAACTATCGCCAATATATTCATCTACTACAATATATTAACATTTTGCCATAAAAATATTCACCAATTTTACTCTATAGTAATGTAAATCTAGAATAAAGTATATTATCGTTAATGTATTACCTTATTATTATTTAGAAATATTTTATTTATATTTCATCATAATAGCTTTTATTTATAAAATTTCTAATCTCCCAAAATTTCATGAAGAGTAAATAGTGTTGGAGGCGTGGGTTATTTGTGTCCTCTTAAAATTACATTCATGTTTCCATCGATCTAAAACAGTATAATAACCATTTCAGCATTACCGGGAAAATGTGACCTTGTACTTAACTGATACTAATAGAATAAAACTTAAAGCCTTCATGAGTCTGCAACATAGAGAGGATCTCTCTGCTACATGCTTAATACAACAAGACTGACTAATAGATAAAAAAACGGTCAAAAGCAGGAGGCCAGATTTTATTAGAGGAAGAAGCCTCTTAGAGGATTGAACTTAGAGAAGATCTCTTCTTCACGCTTAAGAGCATTTTCTTTCTTACATTCCCATTCTGGCTTCTTCGAGTTAGCTGCTTGAACTTCCTGCACCACTTTAGGAATCGAGTTCGCCACCATTTTCTGTCCATAGCTCAGATCAACCTTCTCTTTCTCCTTGCTCCCAATGTACCTCTTCAACTCAGCCCTCCTAGCTTGAAGCTGGGCGATTTGTTCATCAATCTGGCGTATAGCCTCTGAGTTTTCGTCTACTTCCATCTGAATACTCCCAAGTTTGTGCTTTAAATCGCTGTATTCGTATTTAAGAGACGCTACTTTAGCTTTGTTCAGCTCCAGCGCAGAGAAGAACCTGTCTGCTTCTTCAATCACTGCTTTGTTCTCCTGAAACACTTCGCTGAACGTTGGAATCTCTTCTATAAGCTTCAACCTCACTATCTCTTCAGCGGAAAGGTTTGGATCTTTCCTTAGTTTAGTTGCTAATGCTGCTATCTCTGCAGCATCTTTCGAGGCAAACAAAGTAGGGAAGTCCTTCTCTAGAAGAGACGAGATCTTCATACGAGCTTCAGCCCATTCGTACTCTCTCATTGGAGAGCTTGCACTGACAACAACAGAAGAATCTCTCCCACCTTCTTCTGGCCCTTGGTAAAGAAGGTTATCTAGAGAGTTCAGGTAGCTGTCAAACTCTATCGGGTCAACTTCAATAGGCTCGTGGGAAACAGCGAGGACACCGTTCATTGGAGAGACATATATGTGAGGAATCGAAACATCTTCTTCCTCAAGGTTAACTCTTCGTTTCTTTCTCCTGCCACTAGTGTTTGGTCCAGTGGTAAGCTCACCTTCCTCCTCGTTTAGGTAGTTCAAGTCCACAGCACCACTTCTCTGCTGGTTAGAAGCTCTTCTAGTAGATTGCCTAGATGATTTTGGTCCAGTGGCAAGAGTTGTGGCTCCTTTTTTCTTCTTGTTGCTGCTACCTCTTGGAGTTGCTTTAGCTTTATGTTCATCAGGCTTATACATCTGTGTTGGTACTGGTGTCCTTTTCCTCTGGCTGTATCGAGAGTTTCCTTCTTTACCATTCTCATGATCCGGTCCAGCTTCGGTCTTTACTTCCTTAGGTGTCTCCTCAAAACGAGACGCAGTATCAACTACAAAAGAAAAGGAACCATCATTGCTCAAACCAAAACACCAGAGTCATCATAAACCAATGTTCAATAAATAGCTAGGCGGTACTTAGGCGCTTTGTAAAGGACTAGCGACTAGACAAACTAAGCATTAACAAATTATTGATTTATTATATATATATATATATATATATTTGTATAAAATATTTTAGTTTGGGAATTAATTGTAAATTTATTTTGATGAATTATCAAAATAAAATATACAAAACACAAGAAATTAGAGACAAATTTGTGGATTTGTACTAACATTGTTGTTTAATTTATTAGACTAATTTAGATCCATTTATACCAAACTAGAATGGTTTAAACTGATTCAAATAGTACAAAATCGGATTCTATAAAAATCGTTTCGGCTAACACCGATTTGCCGCCTAGGCAGGGGCATGGGGCCACCTAGAACGATTTTTAAAACCTTGTTATAAACCATACCAAGAAGGGCAATATTTTACCTTTGTTAGCAGATTGGAAGAGAGCAGGAATCTTCCAGGTAAACGACGCAAAGAATGCATCAACATCCATACCAGGGAAATTGGACTTGATGTAACGAGCAAGAGTTTGTTTGCTTGCAAAAGACTTTGGCGCATTCTTTTGCTGAAGCCTTTGAGGGAGAATCAGAAATCTATCATGATGGTAGCCAGTAGCAGTCACTCTCTTACTGACTCTCCAAGTCCAAACATCACCAAAACTTGGCCAATCAACAGGTGCGTACGGCAAGCCTTGACCAGTTAAAACTGGTGGGATCGCTGGAAGTTGGTTGAGGTCGGTTTCAACATGAGTGAAGGAGCTGTTGTCCACACTTCTCTTCCCGTTTTCCTTGGCCTCAGAGGGCTCAGGATCTTCACTGTTGAAACCGTTCTCCCAGAAGTTGTCGTGCTCCTGCTGCTGAGTGGTGTGGAGCTGGTCAGAATCGTTTTCTCGGTAAGTTGAGAGTGGGACAGGTTCAATGACTTGGTAAGAAGGTTCGGTATCAAACCTGCATGTAAATTAGCATTAAAAAAAGCTGAAGAGAAGTGTGATAGAACAAAAACACATGAATCAAAACAAATAGAAACTATTTAACACCTCAAACCACAAGTCATTTCCCATCTCAACAAAAAAAAAAAAAAAAAAAAAAAAAAAAAAAACTCAAAGAGTCTTTAGACTCCTAAAGACAAATCTCTCTAAGAACCACATGCATGTTTCCCACACTCAGGATCTTATAAAAGACAATATTGATCTTCTCTAAACTCGAGAATTGTTGGTTCATAAGTCAGAATTATGAAGTACATTTGCTTCACATTACAATCCAAATATAAGAAAGAGAGATTGGTCTCATCTTTAGACATAACTGAAAACAAAACTCGTTTACTTGTGCAAGGAATCAGATCAAAGATTCACAAACAGAGGATAACATGCACGAGATTTACAGATTACCCAGGAGGAGTATGACTGATCCCGTGATGCATGTCGATCGGAGAATAGAGCGGAGCAGACATGCACTACTCAAACGCTAATTCACCTGCAGAAGAGAGACAACACTAACCCATCAAAGCAAAAAAAAAGCAAAAAAAAATCAGAAAAAAATGTTAAAATTCAGCGAAGGGTAACATGATAGTTGTAAACTTTATGTGATGGAGAGAAGCAGAACGAACGGTTTCACAGGCAGATCTAAAATGCTTTTAAATCATTCTTCTCTGTTTCCTCTTGGTTCATTATTTAACCCTACACTCTGGAGCGATGTTGTTCTCGACTCTTGGGAAGCTGAGGTGGAACGAATAAGGGGGAATTGACCACTATATCCTTTGATGTGGTTCTGTTCTGTTTTGGGAAGTTAAAACTGTAAAAGCCGGAAAACCGGATCGACATAGACGATATAAGAAAGACGGAGTTAAGGAAATAAACGATTATATAAGACATGGAGGCGAGATAAATCTCTTTCCTTAACTCTTAATATTCGCTCCGTAGTGAGACGAAACTGTACGAATATCGAGTCCCAGGATACAACCATGGCAGACGAATCACGCTTCACTCGTGAAA